AAGGAAAGATTGCTATCAAATAGCACACCTAGGTTCCTAACTGATGACGAGGAATTGACAGAGCAGCCATCAAGTCTTAGACAGTGTTCTAGGTTATTACATGCAGAGGTTTTAGGTCCTATAATTAACACCTCTGTTTTTTCAGAATTTAGCAGTAAGAAATTATTTGTCATCCAGTTTTTAATATCGAGTATGCATTCCGCTAGTTTTTCAAATTGGTATGTTTCGCTGGGCCGCGAAGAAATATAGTGCCGAGTATCATCAGCATAACAGTGAAAGCTAACACCGTGTTTCCTGATGATATCTCCCAAGGGTAACATGTAAAGCGTTGAAGAGTAACGGTCCTAGTACTGAGCCTTGAGGTACTCCATACTGCACTTGTGATCGATATGATACCTCTTCATTCACTGCTACGAATTGATGGCGGTCAGATAAGTACGATTTGAACCATGCTAATGCACTTCCACTAATGCAATTTAAAACCAGAGGATGTTAGAGGAGCATGTAGAACGGATTTTTCTAACACAGACTTTGCAAGCACAGGACGATTCAGAGCGGTATGGTTTGTTTTTGTCATTTTCTTATACATTTTAGATATGATCTTTTATTTAATCATGGTATCTGCTGGGAAAACTATGTTAATACACAGGGGGCACATAAGTGGAACGCAGGTGCGCATGCGCGACCAAAATTAGAAATGTGTAATAAGTTCTGACAGCGCATTTGCGTACCGACATGGTTGACAGCTATTAATGCACAATTACCATTTTAGATCGACAAACTGTACTGCGTAAGATTTCTATTAAAAAAAAAAAAAAGTTTTCAAAGCACAATGCAAAACTGTGACATTTCTTTAACTCGGAAGCGCATATACGGTACTTCAACCCGCCAAAATAAAATAAGCCTGCTGATTTTAAGTTTGAAAATGATGAAAATTCATCATAGTAGTAAATATTAGCATTTTATTTTTAAGTTTACTATAAAATAATTGTATTTGTATTTATTACTCCCATTTAATTTTAAATACAATAGTATTATCTCACGTTATGATTTAGGTTGTTTTATTTAAAACAAAAATAAAGTTCAATAATATTATCAATCTTATTAATACATTTTTTTTATAGTTATATTTAATGGGTCAAACTATGTGCAGTGTGAGGACCAAACCAAATCTCCAGGTTGAAAAACGTATAAGCACCTCAATACAAACAGTTCTGCGGAGATAACTACTTGCACGTTTCAGACACGGGTCCAGAGTGGAAACCTGGTAGCTTACTGGAAAAGTAGTCACAGATAAGGACACTACAGCATGGTACGTTTACACCGTATTAACTGTGACATTTTTAAGAAAATGTCACCCCCTCCTCAAATTCTGAAAATCTTCCAAGACTTGTTGATGTGTAGACGTTTGTGCCATCGGATAGGGCACTAACTGTTTTCACATTAAATGATTCTATGACCCCCATCATAATTGTAAGAGACTGCTTTCTTAGTGGTCCTATTACATTTTTCTGTACGTTTAGTGCTGCTGAGATGAGATGGCCAGAAGTCATAACTGCTATTAAAGCACAACAAGGTGAAACTGAACTTTGATGAATTAGACTGGTCTGAAAAATGAAATATTAAGAAGCAACCCAGTCACAGCCATGCGGATGTTTGAAAAACACGTCGAAGCCTTAATGAGAGATCTGATCATGTCACCCGCTCGGCCTATTGGTGAGGTAATTGACTTTTTTTACAGAGTACAATTCCATTTACGTGGCTCTCCGCACATTCACTGCTTATTTTGGGTGTAAGATGCTCCAGAGTTTGAAAATGATCAAGATCAGGATGTTTGGCCTTCTTTGCCACTCTGATCTCCTTTTCCAGTGTATATTTGGCCTGTTTATACAAGACTCTGTCCCTCTTCCTGTAAGCATCTTCTTTGGCCTGACGGAGCTGTCTGAGTTTTGCAGTGAACCATGGTTTGTCGTTGCTGTAGGTTAAGTGAGTCCTGGTAGGAATTCACATATCTTCACAGAAACTGATATAAGATGTTACAGTCTCTGTGAGCTCGTCCAGATCGGTGGCTGCAGCTTCAAAAACACTCCAATCAGTGAGGTCGAAACAAGCTTGTAAATCCTGCTCTGCTTCATTAGTCCATCTTTTTACAGTCCTTAATACAGGTTTAGCTGATTTCAGTTTCTGCCTGTAGGTCGGTATAAGATGAACCAAACAGTGATCAGAGAGCCCCAAAGCTGCCCATGGGACAGAGGGATATGCATCCCTTATTGTGGTGTAACAGTGATCCAGTATATTAATGTCTCTGGTGGGACTTGTAACATGCTGTCTGTATTTAGGCAGTTCACGGGAGAGATTTGCTTTATTAAAGTCCCCGAGAATTATTAAAACAGAGTCCGGGTGATGTTGTTCTGTCTCTGTGATCTGATCAGTGAGTTTCTGTAAAGCCAAGCTCATGTGCGCTTGCGGAGGAATGATAACACTCACGAGAATGAACGAGTAAAACTCCCGCGGTGAGTAGAAAGGTGCCTGTACTTCTGGACTCGAATTTTCCTCGAATTCACACAACTTCTATGGGCTCTCGAGCCTTTAGTCATGCAGCTCCTTATCTATGGAATTTGTTACTACAGGATGTGCGAAATAGTGAAAGTCTTAGTTGTTAATTGTTATATCATAGATATAGTCATAGATCAAGTATTATCCACTGCTAAGGAGCATATTTGGCAGAATCACTGATAGAACCTCAAACTTTGAAACATTTAAAGTTCTCTCATACCTGAAATAATTAATACTGGGTAATTCTGAACCCTCGGTAAATGGGATCCTGGTTAATATTTTATTTTTCACACTGCTCATACTTTACCTGGAGTTAAACATTAATTCTGATCATTGATAATATGACCTATCACACTGTACATTTCTAAACCCTGGCTTACTGTTTTTATTTGCATATTTGCCGTGTCAATGGTTAATAAATTTACATTTGGTTTTGGATCACTGAATATGCGTAGGATTCAAGTATTTGGACATGGAGTTGCACTAAAATCCACATATCTCTGGAGATAAACCATACAGAGCCTAAAAATTAAGATTCCAAAAGAAATTTCTAAAATAAATCATATGACAGGCATGCAAACTTCAGAAAATTAACATTTTCGGCACTCAGGTATGTTCTATGCCATTGTTTTAATAGCGGGAAACAAGATAGATTTCTAGATGCAATATTTATTCTTTAGATATTTTTCTTTAAAATTCAATTAGTATTAGCTGTAAAGTGACCCACATTTGATTTTCAACTATTGAAAATGACATTGGGCTCTCCATATCTCTGGCATTGAACCATATAGGGCCTTAAAATGAACATCCTTAAAGAAAAGTTTCATAGGAACCAGAATCTAACTTCTAGAGGTACAAGCACACAAACTTTGGGATGATAATCCTTTCTTCACTCATACTCTTTCCTGAATTTCCAACATTGGACAGATCATTTCTTATGTAACGAAGTGGCTTTCCTTTGCATTGAACCATATGTTAATCAGTGAAAAAAAGAGAGAGAAAGTGGTTCAAGTAGCAAGCATGTTTCGTAACACCAGCAAATGAGATGTACTGCTATAATGTTGACTGTGAGTTGGCATCATATGAAGAGGAAGCAACGTCACCTGTGTACATGAGATTTGTAAAGCTAACTGAGAATTGATATAGCACGTATATCATTTTGATTTTGATTGCTTCCATTGTCCTCATTTGTAAGTTGCTTTGGATAAAAGCGTCTGCTAAATGACTAAATGTAAATGTACATAATGTTCTCTGTGCCTATGATTTCCATTAATAGAGTGTTGAGTGTGTTGTTGCTGTTGTCTTTTATTTGCATGTGTCATTACATTGTGTGCGTACAGAAACATACACCCTCCAGATCTACCACATTCAAATTAACTCACTTCTGTAGAATTACAGCAACACAGAGAAAAACACATGAACGAGGAAGAAAAATGAAAAGAGCTTTTGTTTAGAGTAATAAACAAATGATGTGATGCTGAATGAGGGATGAGAGCAGATATAATAATCACAGACAGAAACATCAGACTCAGGACAGAAGCACATGACCTCTAAAGTAAGAACAACTCACATGTTCATTCTTTAACTAGACTTTTAGACATGTTAATATTGTCTTAATCATTGTGTACGGTGCATTTATGTTCCTGTTTTTAATTATCACTGAAATCATGTTTCACACCAAAAGGAATCTGGGAATATTTATCTATATTTTTCTTGCTCAGAAATGGACCAAACTCTGTATGTCGTCATTCTTCTCATTGGTGAGTGTGTTTGAGGTTTTATTTAGTTTCATTAGGTTTGATCCTGTTCTGAAAAGCATTCAATCAAAGCCTCTCTTTCACAGCTCTCTGCTCTGTGTCTGAATGTGCTCAGCGTCAGTATCACTTTATAAATGAGAACAAGACCTGGACTGAAGCTCAGAGATACTGCAGAGA